CACACACACACACACACACACACACACAGCATTTTAACAACTGAAGGTAACATTTACTTGATTGTGGTATAGAAGTGAACTATGTGCCTGGAAAATACATAATGCCCCCCATTTAATGTTACAATCTCTGTAATACAAAAGAAATATATTTAAATATTTTTCAAATTATTTAATATAATAAGCATGGTGTGACATCAAAGACATGTCCTTTACAAAGAAATCCATTTATTTAACTGAAATAATGTATAAGAAACATACCAAATTGTTATATTTTGTGAATATGTGGAAATTGTAAACTGTTCACAGTTCAAGATTTGGAATAGCACCAGAGCTGCAGCTGTGGCAGAGTGGTTAGAGRGGTTAAGGAGTTGTCCTGTAACCACTTTGTTGCCACTTCGATTCCCCATTCGATCCGTCTCAGTCAGTGTGTCCTTGGTCAAGACACTTCACCCACCTTTCCTGCTAGTAGTGGTGGTGCAGGTGCATGGCAGCCTCTGTCAGCTGTGCCTTTGGAGTCCGTAGGGATTTGATAAAGTGCCATATAAGTTCAAGCCATTTACCATTTACATCTTTAATTGTAAAAACTATACAGAGAAATGTATTTGGTTTGTCAAACAATTATTTTAAATGATTTAGTTCCATCAGAATGTAGTCCCACAAAATGGCGAGAATCCTAAATACAAAACTGAAACATGTTTGTATATTTTTAAGTTGTGATTCCCTAAAAAGAAACAACCAACATACCAAATAAAATGTCTTCTTTGTGTGTTTTCAGTGGCTTTGAGAGCAAAACGTCTTCCACAACGTCACCACCACCCAGATGACCCCTGAGGCTGGTGAGTGGCTGAACCCCCCGCCCCGCCTGTGCAATGGGAAGGAAACATCCTTCACACAACTGAGTAATTTCCTGGCTGTGTGAAACAGCCTGACTCCAGCTCAACTTGAAACACTTCAGCTGAGCTGGTAGTACTGTTAACTGTCATTTGCTCCATGTGCAGGGGTTCTCTGCTTTTTAAAGGCTATAAAATGTTGTTGCTCTGGTGTCAAACCAGTGGCGCCTGCAGAAATATTTTTCAGGGGGTGCCAT